AGTTACGCCGTATGTAAATGGCTGACGTTTTCGTATCGTCGAGAGGGGCGTGTGTTACTGGCTAGTCTGGGCACTCGTATACTCTTTCATTCCCATTTTTTTCCCTTTTTTTTTTTGTTAACCAACTCTCTACGAGCGTATATGCTCACATAAAAGCACTGCTAGACAAGCCGAGTGAACACACATAACGTTGCACGTTTCATTCGTCCCGTTTTCGGTCCAGTCTCGTGTCGGATTGCGCGCCATGAAAACTTTTCAGCCATTCGGTCGACAATGTTGAAAATAATTATCCAAAGGATGGCGAGAGTCCAGACTATCCAGATGACTCAGCACATGAACCTCTTATTCTAGACGACGTGTTTTAGTCTTGTATCTTAAGATTTTGTTGCCAGTCATTTATAATTCGCTTTTATGAGACTGCAGATAGATTCGTTATGCTTTGTAAAAATTTGGATGGGACGCCGTCTCCATCCCATGGCTTCATTTAAATTTCATGACTTGATTGAAGATAGTAAAGATACTGCGAATTCCATCATGATTCATCATTTTTGCCCCATAATTCTAATTAAATTCAGTCGCGAAAAAGTAACGGGTAAGGACTTGTTTTAAGTAATGGGCAAGTTGCTGAGGGATATCTTTCCATCTAAGGGAGATAGAGAAATTTTTGTGAGAACTTTTTTGTTGCTCTTCTTGCACTTTACAAAAGAGGTTCTGAGAACAATTTCGCTATCTCTCTTAGATTGAGAGATATTACTCGCGATCTCGACTAGGAAACAAGACGACTTGTTCTTTTTTATCTCTTCTCTCAACTGCATTCTCTTCTCGAAATTGTTTGTCAACTGTTGTAAAGATATTTTTGTAGAAAGATTTTTTTATCAATTTCAAATGCCCTTTTCTGGGCCTCGGAATATATTCCATGAAATGTTGTAACTTTTATTGTAAATAGTTTGAGTTAATTAAAAAAAATCCATGTTTCACGCCCATTTTTTACAGCTGGAGAATATCACAATTAAATTCCGTTCAGTGATGAAATAGCCAATTAATTAATGACTAATTTACAACTATATATTATTGATAATACGATAAAAATTTTCAGCGGAATAGTATTTTAGAGCTCGGATTGCCATTGTGATACGGGAATTCGCGTGAGTTGCCGGTGAAGAGGCGTATAACTAATGACGTTTTAATTTAACCCCACGGTCCAGTACGAATTATTATTCGACGCTCGGATAACTCTAATTACCATGCATTTTCACAGATCGCTGTGGTCCCGGACACGCTCTCGGTG